GGCTTCCACAGTGTCCTCCTGACACAGCACCACTGCAATGCCACCTGCTGACACACTCCACTCCCTGGGCGGTGACAGAGGACAGTGCCAACTCCCCAGCACGGACTGGTGGCCCCACTGGAACTGCAGGTGTGGGGTGGCCGTGAGATTGTCAGAGTGGACGGTGGCTCAGTGCTAGGGAGCCCAGGACCATCCGTAGTCTCCTAGCATCCTCCTCCCTCCCGGGGAGGGCTGGGGGAGAGGGAGAGCCCTGGGGAAGGTACCACCTCCACACTGGCCAGAAGTCCAGGCTAGAGAACCCAGAAAGTGGGCCCTACAGAGAACACCTGTGGGGACCAGCTTCACCCCACCCCACCCCGCCCAGGCTAACCCCTGCCACAGGGGGTCACTGGCTGCCTGCAGGAGAGGTGGAAGGAAGGGCGGCCACACACCCCCATGTCCACCTGGGTGGGCACACCTGGCCTCATCACCTGGAACCTCACCAATCCGATTAGGATCTCTCTCTTCCACAGGAGCAATAAGGGGAGGCTTTATTTGGATCTGAGTGACACACAGTGTGCAAAGCCAATGGCCCGACACTTTCTGGCACACGCACACCTGTGGCCACCATCATGGCAACGTACTGAACGTGTCCAGCAGCCCTAAAAGCACCTGCTTTGTCACTACCCCTCCCTGGCCTTTCCCTGTCTTCCCTGGCGACCTCTGACCTGCCCCCTGCTGCCAGGATGAGATGGCCTTTTCTAGATTTTTATGTAAATGGAGTCACGTGCGAGGGCTCTTTTCTGTTGGGTTTCTTTCCTTCCCATCACTGCCTTGAGATTCACCCTGTTGATTCCGTGAATTTTCATCCCTTTTCATACCATTATATGAAGACACCACAATCTGGTTATCTGCTCGCCTGCTGATGGGCATCTGGGCTGTTTGCAGCTGGGGCTATCACAGATAAAGTTGCTATAAACATTTGTTTACAAGTCTTGGGAGAGATATATGCTTTCAGTTCTCCTGGGTAAATGCCTAGGAGTGGAATGATTGGTCACACAGGTGTGTGTTTAAGCTTTAAAGAAAGGGCCAAATATTTCCCAAGTGGTTAGACTATGTTACATTCCAGCAGCTGCACAGGGGGAGTTCACCTGCTCCATATCCTTGCATGACATGATGTCTTTTTAAACTTAGTTAAGTTGTTGTTATTATTATTATTATTATTATTTAGTGGTAGTAGTATTACTGATAATACTAGTCTAGTAGCACCAGGGATTAAACCAAGGTGCTTAACCACTGAGCCACATCCCCAGCCCTTTCTGTTTTTCATTTTGAGACAAGGTTTTGCTAAGTTGCTAACAGCCTTGCTGAGTTATCGAGGTTGGCCTCAAACTTTCAATCCTCCTGCCTCAGCCACTCAAGTTGTGGGATTTCAGGTGTATGCCACTCTGTCTGGCTAAATTTAGTTAATTAATCAATTTATTTATTTATTTTGGTACCAGCGCGCTACCACTTGAGCCACATCTCCAGCCCCCCTTTTTTGTATTTTATTTAGAGACAGGGTCTTGCTGAGTTACTTAGGTTAAATTTATTTTTTAAAAGATACTAAAAATATAAATATTATACATATTTATGGAGTGCCATGTAATGTTTCAACCCTGTTTTAGTGAGCTTTTGCGCCACTGTGACCAACATACCCAACAGGAACAATTTAAGGAGGAGAAGTTTACCTGGGGCTCATGTTTCAGAGGCCTCCGTCCATAGGCGGCCGACTGGGCCCAGGTGAGGCAGCACCTCCTGGGGGAGGGCCCGCACAGGCCAGCTGCTCAGCTCAAGGTGGCCGGGAGGCAGAGAGACAGAGGAAGAGGCTGCGGGGAAGATGCACCTCTCCAGGGCACACCCCAGTGACTCACCTCCTCCAGCATGTCCCACCTGCCCTGTCCCGTCCCCGCCCAGTCAGTCCATTGAAACTCGGATGCACAATTGGGCTCCAGCTCTCACAGTCCACTCTTCCACCCCAACATTCCTGCGTTGACAGGAGCCTTTGGAGGAACACGGCATATTCTAACCATAACACACACCTGAGCAATGTTTACATCAGGTGGACCTATCTGTCTTCTCATCATTTCTTCATGGGAAAGACGTTCAGAGTCCTCTCGCGGTTCTTTGACATATATAATACATGATTGTTACCTGTAGTCACCCTTGTGTGCAAAGCACACCCGAGTTTCCTCCTCCTGTCTAACTGTAGCTCAGGTCAACCTCTCCCCACCCCTGTGGTTAGTTTCTTTAACTTCCTGCCTTCTAACACACTGTGGTGGTATCTTATTACACTGTCATGTGCATTCCCCTAATGACTAATGATGCGAAGCATTTTTCATCTCTTCTCTAGTGCAGTGGCGCATGCCTGTAATCCCAGTGCTCCAGAGGCTGAGGTAGGAGGATCACAAGTTCAAAGCCAGCCTCAGTAACTTAGTGAAGTGCTTCCAGGTTCAACCCTCCATACAAAAGAAAAAAAAAAATGAACCCCTATCATTTCCAAGTGCATTTTCTTTTCACCTCTGTTGAAAAGCAAGTCAAGGCACACGTGTGAATCTATCTCTAGACTTCCTACTCTGTACAAATGATCTATTTGATTATCATGATACCAATACTGCTGGCCTTGAGTACTACAGCTTTACTAAGCCTTGGAGTCAAGTAGTATAAGTTTTTCCATTTTGTTTTTCTTTTTTGAAATTGTTTGGACTATTACAGGTCCTTTGCATTTCCATCTGAATTTTAGAATCAGCCTCAAAAAAAAACAAAAAACAAAAAAAACAACGTATTTGGATTGTATTGAATGTATAGGTTGATTTTAAGAACTGACATCAATATTCAGTCTTCTGATTCACAAGTATATATTCTTCCATTAGGTGAGATTTATACCTAAATTTTTGTTATTATTGTTCTATTGATTTTTTTTTTTTTTTTTTTGGTGTTGGGGATTGAATGCAGGGCCTCGTGTATGTGAGGCAGGCACTCTACCAACCGAGCTATATCCCCGGCCCCAATGTTCTATTGATTTTTGAATTCTAATTTCTGAAAATTCACTGCTAGTGTGTGTAAAGATAATTGAATTTTGTATATTGGGCTTATATTCTAAAACCTTGCTAAAGTTATTTACTACTCTGAGTAGCTTTTCTGAGGATTCCACAGGTAGAAGATCATGTTATCTGTGAGGAAAGCTGACTGTACTTCTTCCTCATTTGGATGTCTTTTCTTTCTTTTTCTTGCCTTAGTGCATTGGCTAGACCTTCTGTCCCATATTGTAAAGAAGTGGTGAGGGTAGACATTTGCCTGAGGGTAAAACATTACATCTTTACCATTAAGTCTGATGTTAACAGCAGGTTTTTCTAAGATGTCCTAGATCAGGTACAGGAAGGAAGTTTCCACTTTCTAGTTTGTAGAATTATCAGGAATAAACACTGGATTTTACTAAATGCTTTCTCTGTATCTATTGAAATGATCATATTAATTACATCAATTGATTTTCAAGTGTTGAATATACCCTACTGGTCATTAAAGTTATCTTTTTATATATTATTTGATTTGATTACAAATGTTTTGTTGAGATTTTTTGCAATATTCTGACAAGCATTTGTTTGTAGTTTCTTTCATGTCTTTGCTGGGTTAAGTATCAAAGTAATGTTAGTCTCAGAATGAATTAGGAAGTATTCCCTTCTCTTCAATTTTCTAGAAGAGTTTGTGTATAATTCTTCCTCCGACATTTGTTAGAATTCATCAAGGAAGTCATCTGGACCTGGAATTTTCCTCATGGAAAGGTTTTTGATGATATATTCAATTTCTTTAATAGGTACAGGGCTATTCAGATTTCTATTTCTTCTTGAGTGAATTTTGTTAGTATTCTTCAAGGAATGCGTTTGTATCATCCAAGTTGTTGGAGTTTTGGCATAAGACGTTCACAGTATTTGGATGGTCCTTTTCACATATGGGAAGTCTGTAGTATCTTGCCTTTCTTATTCCTGACATTGGAAATTTGTGTCTTCTCTCTTTTTTCCCTTATCAGTCTGGCTTAAGTTTATTAATTTAGTGTATTTTCTTAGAACCAGCTTTTGGTTTCATTTCCCAGCTCAGTGGGCCATTTTCCCAACTTGTGAAGGAAATCTAAGGAATTCTACATAGCAGAGGGACTTTCATTTTCAGATCCAGAGACTCATCTAAAGAATGCTGTCCTGAGGCTGGGTACCAGGTCCACAGTGCAGTAGCTCTGAGCCTATGCATGAGAAGGGTTTTGCTTTAAGTATGAGTAGACCAGGTTTTGTCTTCTTCTCGAGTTCAGCTCTCTCCTACCACTCAGATTTGGTCTTAGCACCAGGAAGAAACCAGGAGTCTTATTTGCAGCATTAATAAACCTACAAATAGTAATGGATCACCACAGCACAGATCCCCAAAGGCACTGTTTCCTGCAGCTAAGTCAAGTGTACTTTGAATGTTCCATTTGTTCTTGGTAAAATTTTAGCAGTAAGACAAAATAAACATCTCTGATTAAGAGTTTCATTGTAGGGGCTGGGGTTGTGGCTCAAGCGGTAGCGCGCTCGCCTGGCATGCGTGCGGTCCTGGTTCGATCCTCAGCACCACATACAAACAAAGATGTTGTGTCCACCGAAAACTAAAAAAATAAGTATTAAAATTCTCTCTCAAAAAAAAAAATTTAAAGAATTTCATTGGAAACCGAATTTTAGGTGAAAATGACAACCTACTTGGGCAAGTGGCTCTCACACTCTATTTTTGAATGACCCACTGAACAGGGCTGTGGCCTTTTTTCTTTCAGGAGTCCCCATTCCAGTCACTCAGGTACATCATACTTATTCTGTGGAAGTGAGATGAGCCATCGGAAGGAAAAACACTGTGGGGAAGCCCAGGTGCGTCCTGACATCACCTGCAAGGGGCACCACAGGCCGTCTGCACACTGAAGCCCCACTGAGGCTGTCAAGCAGTTTTAATTTCTTTCCGCTGGCAGTTCCCATGCAGGTCCTGTGCATTTTGAGGGACCCCACTTCCACCTGGATTGCTGACAAGGACTCACCCTCACAGTCTCACCCTCCCGGATGTCGCTCCATTGGGGAAAGCTATGTGGTAAGGATCTTAGAGATGCCAGAGGCCACTCGAGACTGACCGCTGGAAATGGCCAAGAGTGGGAAGAACAGGGCCTGCCTGGTTTGCACCTCCACTCTACAGCCCCCACCCTCCTGTGGACCTGCCAAAGCCTGGAAGGGTGCAGGTGGTCTGGCTGCTCCAGAGTCCTTGGAGACTGGGGGGCCCTGCCATTGCGAGGCCCTGAGGAGGCCACTTCTGGGAAGGGTTTTTCTGGTATGGCTGAGCATGTGAAGAGAAAATACTGACGCCCCCAGTTAGCCATAGTGCTTTCCTCCAGCTGACCCATCGTGCATGTCTGCCAGGGAGGCTCTTCACAAACTGCCAAGCTCTTGGGAAGGCTGGGTACCACCTCGCCTGTTTTGGAGCATAAACAGCTACCAAAGCAAGTGACTCCCAACTCCTGCAACAGATTTCCCCTAGCTCTGTGATTACGGTCATCTGCTAACGAGTCTAGGAATCACGATGTGCAGTGACAGAAGTGGGCCAGGAGTGGGGAACCCCGCACTCTGGTCTGTCAATATACACACTTCCTTATTTATACCTCAGCAAATCTAGGTGACTGTATTGTCATCCCCTCTTTTATAGATGATGAAATGGGCTCAGAGAGCTTAAGTGACTTACCCAAAGTCACACAGCTAGGAGGTGACTCAAACCCAGGAGTAACCAATAAACTGTTGGATTGGGTCACTCTCTTCCCTTCTTTGGGTCTGGAGTCCCTTCTGTATCTAAGGAGGGAGTCAAATGGGATGATCTTTAGTCCTAAAACCTGGACTTCTTTGGTTCTCTGTGGGTCCACTCTGCTCAATGCCCACAGAGAATGTGACCACACATTCTGCATCCGGCAATGGCTTGGTGAGAAGAGGGCCTGGTGGGGCGTGGCCAGAGCAGCCCACCCTAGCAGCGGCCTAGCTGCACCCTGGGCACTGTGCTCACCACGGGTCCTGGGGTGCTCACGGGAAGTGTGGCACGCTGATAATCGCTTTTGGATAATGACCCTCGTCCCACCATCTGCGAGCTGATGACCACAAGGCAGTCTGACACGGCTTGATTTTAATGTCTCAGGGATGTTTATTTCTGTTTCCAGAGTGGCTCAAAATGACAGAGGAAGACCCTGGGGCCCGGAGCCTGCAGCCAGCAGAGTGAAGGAGCAGAGCCCCAGTGGGGGCGGGGCGGAGCCAGCTTGAGGAATGGGAGTGAGGACTGGCGGCTCTGGGCCCCAGGGACATGGGAGGGAGGGTTCAGGCTGTCCCTGTGGAGAACGCTGTCACATAATTACAGCAATTTCATTTCCTTATATTGGGGCAAATCTGTGTTCCCTAAAACAAACAAAATGAAAGCAATTTAAAAGCAAACAGCCCAAGATTTCAGAATTCTAACTGCTCCTGAAAATGCTCGCTGGTGACAATTAAGTTGTTCCACGGAATCCTAACCTGGGGGCTGGTCTCATACCCTCATGGGCCAGGACAGACAGAGGGGACAAAGTGACCTTAGCCTGAAGCCCTGTCCTTCCTTTGAGGGTCGCTGGGCTCCATGCCTGAGGGAGAGCTGCTGGGTGGCTCTGGGATCAGCTGGAGGCTTGGCAGACATGTGCCCTGCACAGGGGCCCCTCTGCTGCAGTCTGTCTCTCTCCAGAGAAGCCCCTGGCCCTGCTTATGCCCAGCCTGCCAGGTGTGTGGCACCTCTCTCTGCTTGGGACATCCAAAACACCACGGCCCCAGCCTGCTGCCTGCACTCCTCACCACCTGCCCTTCCGGACAATGAAAACCAGAGCGTCCAAAGCCATCTGCTGGCTTCCCGCCCTTGATCCGTGAGACCCCACCGCCTGCCCTTGGGTTTCCCCTGGGAAGTCAGTCCCTGACTTGCTCTGTCCAGGCTTTGTTGGCCTTTGACATGGCCCTGCCCTTGTGCAGCTGACCACTGGGGTGCTGAGAGGATAGGCTAGGCAAATGAATCGAATAACCAAGGACACAAGTAATCATAATTGTGCTGAGTGCCTCAAAATAGCCGAGCGGCAGGACAGGACAGAGAGCCGGGCTGGCTCCTTGAGCGGTCAGTGGCCGAGAAGGCTTTTAGGGGAAGTAAGGCCTGAGGGTGAGCAGGGAGGGTGCAGGCAGCATCTGGGCTGAGTGTAGAGTCCCACATAGAGCAGCCTGGGCTGGGAGGGGCCTTGAGAGCAAGGGGGACAGGCGAGAGGACAGGGTCAGACCATGGGGCCGGCAAGGATGAACATGGCATCCAAGTTCCCTTCTGCCTTCCAGATAGAAAGCCAGAATCTGAAGGGATTAGGGGCAAAGTCCTGTCTGTGTTCCCCATGAGCCAAGACCAGTGGGCTGGAAGATGGGGTGGGCAGGAGCAGGGCTGGAGAGATGAAGTTTGGCTCCTGCCACCTGCTGCCGGGGCTTCTGCCTTCTGTCCCCCACCTGCCCCCCACAGGACTCCTCTGCGGCTGGCAATCTAGACTTGAAAACAATGCGGGGTCTCCGGCCAGCACTACGGTAAGGAGGGTGCTGTTTATAAGCCCCGGAGGGGGCCGAACTGCATAGCAACTGCCGCCTGAGTGGGCCGTGGCCTGACCTCCGGTGGGACTCTGGGAAGCCTCAAAGCCAGACCCTGGAGGAGCCCGGAAAGGAGGGACACAGCACCAGGGTCTGATCGTGTCCATCAAAAGCAACTTGCAAGCCCCCATCTCTGGAGGCTGTGCCAACGCAACCTGAACAGGCTCAGCCTCGCCCCAGATCTCCGCCTGGGCTGCTGCGAGAGACACAGCTCACCAACACAAACAAGGCGCACGGAGCTGCCAGGGTGGGGTCTCTGCTGTGACTGAGGTCCAGGGCTGGCTCATGTCCCACAGGTGGTCAAGGCGAGTGGTAACAGGTACTTGGCACAGCAGGAGGTATTCCTGCTAGAGTGAATGGTCCTCGGGGAAGGAGAATTGTGAGATCCAGGGTGGACAGGAGTCAGCTGCGGCACCAGCTCCTGCGTGACCTGGGCTAGCTGCTCCGCCCCCGCCTCATCTTCTCACCTGGAACACGTGGGTTCTCACACATAGGCCACAGGGTTTAACAGGGTGGTGCTGGCGAGTGCTTAGGATAGACAGTGCCTGGCACATCACAGACACCCAGTGAATTATATCTTGTACTACAACAGAATAAAGAGAGGAACGTGTTAGGAAGAGCTGGCAGGAGGTATGCCGCGCTTCTACCCAGCCACGTCCAGGCCGAGGCAGTTCCCAGGATGAGGTCCAGGAACTGAACTCCAGGCAAGAGGTTCCCAGGGTGAAAATATTTGGGAAATGGCATCATATTGACTTATAAAGCATGTTTACTTATTAAAGTAAAAATGTCCTTTAATAAAAGATCTGTAAAACTTTCTACCCATTCTTTCCCCAACCTTATTTGACCATGGTGCTCTTTCTGCTTTGGTAGAACAATGTCTCCCAGTAGAAAATACCAAATGGCAATGGAGGGAGAGACCAGGGAGGAGGAGGAGAGGGGACGATGCCCCTGGCTCCGGCCTTGCTGGCCTGGAGGAAGGACCGGGCAAAGAAGCCTGAATCTGGGCCAGCTGTTTACTGAAAAGCTAGGCGTGGTGGTGTGCGCCTATGCTCCAGCGACTCTGAAGGTCGAGGCAGGAGAATCCCAAGTTTGAGACTAGCCCTAGTGACTTGGCAAGACTGTCTCAAAGTAAAAAAGGGCTGGGGTGCAGCTCCCTGTGGAGCAGCTCCCTGGGTTTGATCCTCAGCACCACTCTGGGTTCGATGCTCAGGACTGCCGTGAGAACCTGAAGATGGAAACCAACCTGCTGATGAAGTGAGGTAGAGGCTGAGAGGCGGCCTCAGGGAGCCAGGGCTCTGCCTCCTGCTGCTCTCAAGCCCCAACCGTGATGGATGGTGGCTGGCCAGGGAGCAGGTGGCCGTGGCTGTCAGGCAGGAGGGGCCAGGCCCGCACTTCCTGTCCTCAGGGCCTCTCAACAATTCCATAAAAACGCTGCGCCTGGGACCAACAGCACCACCACACCAAGGGGTCTTGCAGATGCTCCCAGGCAGGGGGTCCTTAAGGTCATGCCAATAAAAGGTTTCTTACTCTGGCCCTGGACTACCTGCCCTGAAGACACCTGCTTGTCGGAACACAGCACCAAAGGCTCGCACCAGCTCTGTGCCACAGTGGGGGATGGCCACTCAGCCAGGCCATGGGGCTGAGGAGCCAGGGGGAAGATGCTCCACCTGCCCCTAAGGTTGGGGGGTCTTATGTGGGGCTGTCTGAGCCACTAGGTCCTGCAAGACTTGCCAGGGCTCTCTCTGAACTCCCTCATTCAGTCCAGACTGCCTGCCAGGCAGGGTGGGCTCAGGAGAGGGTCAGCCTGCATGGGCCACACCCTCTCTGCGCGGCTGGAGTCCTGGCCTAGAAAACTCCGGAGCTGCTGGAAACAGAAGGCCAAGCTGGTGGCGGCACCAGGACACAGAGACAGCAGACAGCACCGAGACCACCAGCTAGGCCTGTCAACACGTGTCCAGGGCACTTGTGTTTCTGTTCGGACCAGGGGCTGGGTTAGGGGAACTGCTATACAATCTGGGTTCTGGCTGTCCTTGAAGCTAACCTGTGGTTCTGCCATGTGTTGCCCCTTGAAGCACCAGCACTGAAGGCAGGGCACACCTGGAAAAGCCAAGCGAGATGTGACCTGGTTTGTGGAACCCGAGTACGTGATGTCACTGACTCTGCCTGTGGCCTGCCCATGGCAGCTGCGGTCATCACTGAGACACCACTCCACACTCATTGGGCTCTTTGCCTGGAGCCCCACCAGCCTCCCTCTGAGCAGGCAGGAGCCAATATGCATTCCCTGCCCGCCTTCCTGGTAGCTTGGCCTTCAGGGGACACAGGCTGCTGAGCTGAGCTGACCCCTTCCACCTACCACTGTAATTGACCCCAAAAAAGGAACTCAAAGGGGCTCAGACGCCAGCTGCACATTCCTCTGGTGCCACCACATGACAGTGGTGGGGTGTTATCTGGCAGACCACAGCTGATATGGCCTTATGGAGAGATGTCACATGCCACCTCAATGGAGGATTAAAGTAGAGAATTTGAGGTCAAGGGTTTAGGCCAAATCAGCTTCTATATATAAAAAGGAGCCTCTTTGGGTAACAGAGGGTAGAAGGCTGGTTCGGCTGGGGCTGGCCTGTAGAACGTCATGCCCAGGGCAGAACGTCACCCGTCACCCTGTACACAGCTCTTTTACAATGATACCCTGCACAGGAAGCCTGCCCCATTGCTGTCTCACAATGGCTCCTGTATAAGTCACAAGAGAGCATGTGGGAGGAGAGGCCTGAGACTGGAGGCAGGTGTCTGGGGACAGTCCCCTGCTTTGCAGCTGAGGGGACCTCCCTTGAGCGAAGGTGACAGATTCTTCACTTCCAAAGGACCAAAGGGGACTCAGCTCTTAAAAAGAGACAGAGCCCCTAATCAATGCAAAGTGCAGACAAACCTTCCCAAGCTGCAGTAGGCATGGGGACAGTCCCCATGGATATCGCAGACCCAAACGCAGGTCTTGGCTCTGCTGACAGCTGGTCTGGGAGGGTTCTGGAACCCCAGAGTGCACTACCATGAGGCTCCTCCTCTTATAAGAAACCACTGAACACAACCTCAGTTGGGCATCCAGCCCAACTTTGGGTTCTGTTGAATCAGTCTCCAAGATGCAGGAATGTGAACCTGGACTTCACCAAGAACTCCCCAGGTGAGGTCAAGGTACTGGCAGGATGGGGCCCCCAGAGCATAGAGGAAACCTCACTGTGGACCAACCAGCCACAAAACCAAGAGGCTATACCAATTGCACCATGACGGATTAGTTCCACACGTCCAAGTTCTATTTAAACATCAAAAAATACAACTTTCCTGGGGCTGGGATTGTGGCTCAGAGGTACCACGCTTGCCAAGCACCATGAGACCCTGGGTTTGATCCTCAGCACCACATAAAAAAAATAAAGATATGTGTCCACCTGTAAGTAAAAAATAAATATTAAAGAAAAATACAACTTCCCAATATGTAAAACTCTAAGCCTCAGTCTCTTTCCATCTCCTCTCTGCTAATGGCCCCAGCCAGACTGTCCCGCTCTGGGCCTGCAGCCTTACATCTCGACGCGGGGCAGCCCTCATTGTCAGCACCTGTCTAGGATTTCACCTGTGTAGGCCCAAGAAACAGAACACCCAGGCCTGAAAGGTACTGCATCACGGAGGAACTGAAATGACGACCCCTCGGCCACACTGCCTCACACTCAGCATTGTCCCGCCTGTGGGATCTGGCACCAGAGGTGTCTCTGCAATTCCTGGGCCCATCCCAGAGTGCTTTTGCTGTGGGAACA